CTCTATGCATTCCGCCCACGAAAAAGTACAGACTTTTTCGAGCAGACTATGACCAGGTAACTCAAGCCTGTATAACCCCCACAGGAACGTCATTGAAATGCTGCCACCCTATTGGCTGTGCGGTGTTCGAGGCCAAGAAGAGGGTAATCGTGAAATCGCTCATGTCTGGCTTACAAACATAATAAAAACATCAATTGTCTCTTGATCAAAATTGTGCACGCTGTGCAGCCTTCAAATACCAAGGACGTTCTGTGCTACATAATGCACAACCTTTGACATGTGTAATAGATATTACGAAAAAAGGACTTGCAATCAAATAATTTGAGAAAAGCGCCATACCCAAGCATGCGAATGCAAGTAAACACATAACATCCATCAGAAAATGAGCACTAAAACCACGAAAAGATCAAAACACGAGCCCTCAACGCTATTTTCGTCAGCAAACACCTCCAGCACCTCCACTGCTATCTCTCGGTGAGCTGAAGAGCCACGTGTGAGAGTTAGGGTGACAGCTTTGCACAGCCAGTTTGTCAGTATCTCTAACATCACACAAACGTTACATGACACAATCAAACAATGACGCATTGAGTAGCATGTTTACTAAAAAAGAGATCATGTTGTCTAGAGCGGTATTTCTTCTTCAAAGTATACCAATAGTTATAAATGAGCTAATTAGTTGATTGTGCGGTGTTCGACGCCAAGAAGAGGACAATCATGAAATCGCTCATGTCTGGTTTACGTGAGCACGGCTTACAAACATAATAAGCATCAATTGTCTCTCGATCAAAATTGTGCACGCTGTGCAACCTTCAAATACCAAGGACGTTTTGTGCTACACAATGCATAGCCTTTGACATGTGTAATAGACATTGCAAAAAAGGATCTGCAATCGAATAATTTGAGAAAATCGCCATACACAAGCATACAAATGCAAGTAAACACATTACATTCACCAGAAATTAGGCACTAAAATCCCGGAAAAGATCAAAATACGAGCTCTTAACGCTAATTTCGTCAGCAAACACCTCCAGCACCTCCACTGCTATCTCTCGGCGAGCTGGAGAGCCACGTA